CACTTTAAGACATTCAGTGGCTTCCATTTTTTTTTTGTAATGCCATTTAGTTTTAATTTTAAAATCATTAAATTATTTTTTATTTTAAAAATTAAAAAGTCTAACAAAACAACAATGACAAAATCAAAACAACACAAAAACAATACAGGACCTCAAAACAAAATGATAGGAATTAACAATGGTTGCTACATTACCTACTGTTATCATCAACAAAGTTGCTCACCATTTTGTTTTATATCCTCATGCAATGAAATAAACAAAAGCCATTTATGGGACCTATGTCCCTGAAAGTGGACAAAAGTCTTGCTCACTCGATAGTCTTGCCCAGAGAGGCTGAGAAGGTAAGCTAGAGGCACCAAGCTCCCAAAGCAGCTTAGATACTCTTTTTGCTATTTTGCTTTTCGACTTGAACTACTGAGAACCACCTATCTTCTACCTGTCTGCTCTAGGTCTGATGAAATTCTGGCACAATTCTTAATTCTGTAAAACTTACTATTCATTAGTTGCTGCAATACGTACTTGATTTTTCTCTTTTTCTGTCTTGTTTCTTAAAAGTTCAGTTGCAGACTTAGACTCAGTCCTTTGACCTTTCCATGGATTAGCCTCCACCTCTAGATGTCAGCTGCCCAGACAGTGTCTCTTGGCTGCTCAGGAAAGTGTCCTTTCCTGCCATGACCTTGATTCTGCCCTGTACAGTGGTCCCTTGAGTTATGACCAGCCTGATATTCAAACAACTTGAATTATGACCAGAATTTTAATTGAAGACCAAATTCTTGAGTTGTGACCCTAATGCCTGTGCTTGTGCTTCTGGGTGGTTGCAGATACAGATTTAAAGAGTTCTGGAAGGAAGATTACAATATACTCTCGTGTGTGGTGTTCATTGAGAAATCCTGGGCCAATGTCTCTTTAAGGACACTGAGATCTGCATGTGTACCGGAGGGAGACTTTGAGGACCCAATATAGGAGCCTGAATCTTCAATCGACAGCTTGAGTTACAACCAGCCCTTGGGAACGAATTGAACTCATGAGTCCAGGATCCATTGTAGTTTGCATTTAAGTAGCTAATTCCTCATGTCAGAGGTATTTTCCAGATCTGGCACTTAACAAATATCGAGGAGTGACCTGCATCAATGAGCAGGAAAAATAAATTCTTTTCAAAATATGCCTTCATTATGTTGAAATGTTTCTTAGATTCTCTTGGTGACAAGCAACAGAAGTTTACCTTTCATTGCATGAGCAAAGTTGCTGATCTAAGATTCTTTGGATATCCCACAAAACTCGAAAACAAAATGTAGGTGGAATTAATGAACAATTTTATCAATACAGTAGTTTAAATTTTATCACTATCCTCTGTGCTTATTTTTTGAGGTTCTGTGGTTAAGCATTATTTTTCCTTTTTGCTGTAAACTGGCTTTCTCCACATGGAAGAGAATATAATATAACACAAAAGCTACTTGACTCATTGTTTGGGTCACCCAAGAAAGCATGCTTTTCTTAATCCTTTATAGTTTTAAAAATGCCTGCTCAGATCTTCTCAGGCATAAACACAAGCCTTGAAGCTTCTGATTAAAAGGAGATTTCTTTTTCAAATTTGTTATGAGTTTCTTTCCAGTGAATAGAAATAAGCGTAGTGAAAAAGCCAGGAATCTGCTGAATCACCAGTTTGATTTAGACATTCAATTAAGGGGATATCTACTGTGAAGAGAGAGGGCATGTATGCCAGGGCGGTATGCAGTATGGAGAAAAACTTGGAGGAAACCATCAAAGCAACCACAGAATTGGTTTTTAAGACTCAGAAACCAAACTGTATCAAACTAGAGGTCTTTCATGACTGCAAAAGTGAAAAAAGAAACTGGAGCTAGGCTGAACTAAGAGATTTAGACTACCAAGCGGTGAGAAGAATGCACCCATGGCCCACATTTAGAATATTACCACACTAAGTTGCTGCCATTTTGGAGTTTTATCCTCTGCTGATATATACACCACAGAGTGCTAAAATCATCTAATAAACTTCTGTAAAAACACTCTGTGGGGGGCTGTGAAGGTCCTGCAGCAGAGCAATGGAAGGATCTTCAGAGCCCCTGGTCTAAGAGCCCTGTGAGGTAGCATGGTTTTCCATAAGAGCTCACCTTGCCCTCTCCTACCAGTGATTGCAGAGATTGCCAGTGTCACATGGGTATGTGCTGTATGAATGTACAGTCTCCACACCCTGCTTGTTCATGTGTTTTATTAAGGTTTAGAAATAGAAATAGCAACTTTAGCCTTTGGATGTTTATGACACTGAAAAGGAGCAGTGAGTTTTTATGTAACGTAAATCACACACAACCAAGAGCTTGTACCCATACTTCAAGATTCACAGACTGCAAATCCTTTCATTTTAAAAATGTAATTATTGTTTTATAAAGGCTGGATTTGATGAAATAATAGTGACAAAATGAAGAACTTGGTATGGAATACTTAAGAAAATGTCCAGTCATATGGATATATGTGACACATTTTTGGGTTATCTTAAAAATGTCCTATAAAGCTTGCAAGTATCTATTACTTTCCTTTATAGCCTCATTTTTATTTTATAGTTACATTTAGTCAACAATTTCTGTGTGTTTATTTAGCTCTGTGTGTATATCCAAGTACTATGGAGAATCCTAGAGAACTGTACGATTCCTGTCAATTTCAAATATAGAGTCTTTTTGGAATGACCAAATTTATATGTAGGAAATGGAAAATAGCAGCATAAACACAGAAGTTTTAAAGGGCATTGCATTGAAGTAGGTTTATGAAGTTATTCCAATAATATAATCTATGTTAAGAGAAACAAAAATTGGATTAAAGCCTGAATCAATACATATTTATTGATCAAAGCTATTAAACAATAGGGAAATACAAACACTGAATATGATAATTAGGGTTTTCAGTTTATTTAAGGATAAGACAGTCACTTTCATGAGTAATAGGAACCAAAAGTAAAATCATAGGAGAGATGTCATTTAATTAGAAATATAAGAAAATCCTATGAAGATGTCACCAGATTCCTTTTGAACATCTAATATCTTGAGGTGTCTTTTGCCTTCAAGGTGGTCTCTGCTTCATTTGGATCTCCTGTTATCTTATATCATCAAGGAATCTTATATCATAAGACACTGGGGTCATAGAGCAGTGTAGAAGGAAAAAAGTGAATTGTGATGTCATAAAGGTCAATCAATATTCAAATTTCACTTCTCATTTTTGCTAAACTTTTGTTTCTTATCAATTGCATATAGTTATGCCCAAGTCAATTAAGGTTGTGCCTTGTCAGTATGGTATTTAAATGAAGTCTATTTAAATCCTTATACATATTTAATAAATAATAACTCTAATTAAGCCTTTTGAGTGCAGTTGTAGCCACTAATACAGCACTGAGATCTCTAAAATATAACAGCTCACAAACCATCTAGCAGTCTCTCCTAATAGTAGTCTTTCTTCTGAAATTTAGTTTATAAAGCACATTCAAATACATCATCTCAATTGCTCTTCACCCTTTTCAGAAAATGACTACTATTATTTCCATCCTGTAGCAAAGTAAAATGGGAGAGAGGCTTAGAAGACATGTCCTCCTAGAATCATACGGCCAGAAAGTTGTCAGTTCCCCAGATCTTGCAGTCAGGAAGTTCCTGAACCAATTTTAAACCTAGGTCTTCTGACTCCAAATCTCATGCCCTTATCCTTACACCAAACGCCTCTCGCCAAGTGTCTGTGTGCATGCACGTGGTTGTGTGCATGTATGTATGTGGACACTTGTATGAACTTTTTTCAAAGCCCCAGTTTACCCATAAGGGTGAACTTCTCAGGGATGAGTATAAATATATCATGAATGTTTAGTTGACCCTCTGTATAGGTACATAGACCAAATGTGTGGGCATCATTATCAAAGTTATGTGTTAACACTTGGAATATTGTAAGATCTCCTGAATTTCCTTTGTTAAAAAAATTTGACTAGGATTCTATAGGCACAGATTGACATTAAAATGCTGTTAGCGTTGTTAACTCTAGAGGGCATGGCTAATGAAATGTCCCGGAAGTTGAGTGCTTGCCAAACTCTATTGTGCAAGACAGCTCTCGATTAATCACGATGAGAGTATTTCCTTTATCTAAATGAAATCTGTAATTTGGGGTGGAGATTAAAGATCCTTTGGAGGATGAAGGGAAAGGTGCTGTGAAAATTCTGGAAGCCAGAAAATAAAGATAGGTCTACTCAATATTCATGAAGTCAGACTGGTGATGCAAATAGAGATTCAATCTCTTATTCTCTAATGACTTGGCTTGTAGCGTTCTTATATCAGTTTTGCACAGATTTCTACTCAACATTAAAGGCAGTTACTTCAAGTTGTACACATTTTTAAAAGGAAAGTTTAGCATGTCCAATTTGGTTTTCTGCTATCTCTGAACTAATTTTTCGTTTTCTGCCTAAGGCTTTTTATGTATATGATCATAGATGCAAAAAAGATATGATAAGACACACAGAACTGGTAAACATATGCATAAGGTATCAGTAAGTGAACCCTTACTGACTTGAATACAGCATACTTCCAAAAGGAAATTTAAAGTACGTAGCTATAAGGTTAAGGTTTAAATTTGCTTCCTTGAAAGTGAAATCAAAATTTCCTTATCCATCTCATTTGGTAAGGAAATGCTACATATTTTCTCCTTCATCCAATTTATTAGAAATCCTGAAATCTCATTCATAGCACAAATCCTCACCTCCTACACTGTTGTGTTGAATTTAAAAGAAAATGATTGTAAATTCTACAAATGCTTTCTTTGTTCATTATGTGATAGTATAGCTAAAAATTATTTGAAGTGGGGGAAGGTGTGGGAACCCTGAGTCATTTTATTTAGACCCCAACAGCTGCTACAGTGCCCGTGAAGGTATGCATGAAGTACTATACTGTTTTAGTTCTTTGCTAAGAGATTAACTTAGGGTAGATTATTTATTTAATTTTTTTCCTAATTCTCTCTTTTAGGCCAGTCCTGCTCCTATAATTGTCAACACAGATACTTTGGACACGATTCCTTATGTAAGTAACATTTTTATTAAGATTTTCCTTAAAAACTATGGTAGAATGTAATTAGTTGAATTTCAATGCATAATCAGAATTCAATATGCTATCATTTCCAACCAAGCTACATAATCCTATGGAATGAAATGAAATGTACAATCACTTTTGTGAATTTTCTTTTGGTATTGCCTAAATCTTGGCTTAGGCCTTCCTAATATTTCCTCCTTTCATTTGTGTTTTGTGACGCACGGGGATCCATTGTAAGAAAAAATCATGGACAAATCTGTTCAAATAATTTTAGTTTGCTAGGTGGTTTGCTGGAAAATAATTGAACTACTCCTAGCAGACAGAGACAAACTTCTTTGAATTTTGTACTAAAGGAGCACTCAAATCAATTTCTGTGACAGAGCCTAGAATGTGAACAATCAATAGATAGTTTATGGGTTTTGTTGGGCACCCAACAGAAAATTAGAAAAAAAGTTTTGCTAGGATAGACTTTACCTATATATAACAAAATATAGGATTACACGAAGGTGTGGAGTGTGAGATTACAGGATCAGGCAGATCAGTGAATCCTGGAAGTCTGTCATGCAAGCACTGTGTTGGCCAAAGTTCTTGATGACAGAGACTGGTTTGGAGGGAGGAGTGGAAACTGGCAATGGGCCACAGTGAGGGTCACTGGTTGAAATTACGGAGGGTCAGCCAGGCTTTGTGAATGGGCCCTGGCTGCGGGTGGAGCTTAGTGATCAGGAAAGATGAGACAGCCACAGATCCATGCAGGCGGGTACAAAGAGCAAAGGAGGGCTGCAGGGACAATGGACAAGAACAGAGTCCTGTCTACTGATTGAGAACAGCATGCAAATTACTTAAAACCGTACCTGGCATATAATTAGTGTGTGGTAGATGTTTTCAAATTTGAACTCCAGCCTGAAATGCTCGTAAGTACCAGTGAAATCAAGACACAGACCCAGGAGTGGATATGATAGGGAATAGAAAGCATATAACCCTCTACAGTTGGCAGCTGATACTTGGGGATCGGTGTTGCCTGATCATCCCATTTTCAAGAGCAGTTGGACATTTGAATTTTAATGTGAGTGTTTTTAATTTTTATACAAGTAGACAGACACACTTCAAAAGTTCACACACAGCATATTTTTAGTCCATAGGCTGCCTTGCAGGAGAAGTCTTCTTCAAAGAAACTGGAGGTTCTGAGCAGATGCTATATAAGCCAGGACTCAGCCACAGGGGAGCAGAGTTCTAGAACTGGAGTACAAGGTTGGGACTTGATTATAGGGACAAGTGACTAAAACTAGGACATAGAGTCAGGACAGGAATAATAGCAAGCTTGACTTAATGCTGAATCACCGAATTACTGAACTAGAGCTTCTTCAATCTCTCTGAACAAGAATGATCAGGGGCCAGACCAGAAGTGGGGTCAAGCTTTCTGGTGGGAATCCAATAACCTTGGCTGTAGAAAACTAAAGACTGTGTAGAAGGAAACAAAACAATGTATTGAAAATAGCTAGTATTCTTTTAGTCTGTCACTCTCCCTACCTTCTTTTGCTTTTCGAACATTTACGTTGGAATTGCTGTCTGCCTACCATTGCTCTGAGCACGTAATGCATGTGAACACCTCTAATACTCAGGACAATTCTATGAGGTAGATATTATTAATTTATCTGTTTTGCAAATGGAAAACTGAATCTTAAAGATGTTAAAAAAAACTTGCTGAAGGACTGGAGTGGATCCAGATAGTTTGGCTGTAGATTTAACGACTTACTTAACTCCTTTTATGCTGCTGCTTGTGTTTCTTTCCTCCTTGCCTTGTTTTCTGCCTCTCAGCTAGAGAACAAAACTCACTCTCTTACTCTTGTACTACATGTAGATTTATTTGCATGGGAGACAACTTGTCACAGAGGCTCCAGTACCCTTGGGGTAGGGACTTGTCTACAGAATACATTAAGGAATCCTATGTTCCAAGCAAATCTCCTTTTTGTCACTACTGACAAAGTGAGCAGTGCTTTGCAGTAGACATGGATGAGTGTCACTTGATTTTGCAAGCAGATCACTTCCTTGTACTGTATCGATGCTATTTCAAAGCCCTGTTAGGGTTCTTCTGCAATTCATATAGTCTTTCTGAACCTGTATTAATCTGTATGACAAACTGTAATACTTACCTCAGAGGCTGTTATGAAAATCAAATGTGATTTTGGATATGACATCAGATTAACTTGCTGTCGATAGCAGTTTTTGTACTTATTTTTTAAATAGATAGTTATGAAGAAATAGGTGCTAAACTCTGACAGTACTGGATATATGTATATCCTCTTCCATATAGAATATGTATAAGTGCATTCACCACTGGGATCGGCCAGCTTTAGAGCACGGCCATTAAAGTGAATATGCTTCAGTTCCTGCCATCAGCCCAGCTTTCCGCTTTCTTCCCTGACTCACTGGGTAACCTTGAACAAATGACTGTTCCTTTCACAGTCTATTTTCTATTTTCTCATTCCCCAGTGTTCTAGACTTTGTTTTCTTCTTTTCTTTCTCATGTTCTACTTGTTCACATAATTTCAGCTCTATTTAATGAAAAATGATTTCAGAGTTCCCCAGAGCATTTTAATCATGCGGTATAAGGACATTTCCTTCCCCTAAAATATTACCTGAATGACAGACTGTAATTTATATATGAAAGTTCTTTTCAAATATAATGTCATTACAAGTAAGTATACTAATTTTGCTGATTAGCAAATTTTATTTTAGATATAAACGCTTCTCTTGGAAACAGTTTCTTGGCACACAAGCAAAGAGCAATCAAATACTAAGGAAAGTTCCAAGGCCACGGGGATTTTTATTGTAAATGTCTAATAAAGATACAAAGGATACTTAAAGGGATCTCTGCTTTTATTTTTAGGAAATTAAGTTAAGGGACATTAGAGCCCTGCCATTAGTTAAAGTATCAATAAGGTTATACATGAATGCCTCAGATAAACTCAGTCTTACATAATGTCACATGTTAGATTTGGGTAGGACCTTGCACGTGGTGCAGTTCTACCTATTGTGCAAAAGCATAAGTCTCCTGTAGTCTCCATTTTCACTTAAGGAGAGAGAGAGACAGGGACAGAGACAGAGACAGAGACAGAGATAGATAGTTCAAAGTGAGGAGAGCCTGCTTGTGACCTGGAGTAGCTCCCTGAAGTCTGACTTAATTAAACAGTAACATGTTACCCTCCTGAGATTCTGTGGCCAACCAAGATGCTGTGCTCTCTCGACGTACTTCTTCCCTTCGCAGACATGTCAGAGGTTTACTGAACACTATCAAAGCAAACCCTGTCCTCCTGCTTTCTCTAAGTAGAAGACTAGAGGAGTGCAGAGGCAGGAAGGGTGATGTGAATTAACTGTGAAAAGTGAGTATTGGACATCCTATGTAAAGGAGCCAGAGAAAGGTGAAATATCATCTGGCTCTTGCAGAAGTAAGGCATTTTCAGGAAGAGTAGGTAAAAGGCATTTCAGAAAGACAGGACTGCGTGTGGAAAAAGTCTGAAGTTTAGAAACTCCTCTGTCCTGAGTTCTGTACAGCTTGAGCAATGGGCAAGAACATAATATGAAGCTGGACAAGTGGAATGGAGTCTGATGGTGAAGGACTTGTTACCTTGACATGATGTTTGGACTTTATCATGTAGCCTTTGGTGGCCCTATCATCTCATATCACTGGGAAATTATGTTCATCTCTGTTTACTGATGTACTTCAAAGACCTACTCATTGCTATCTATGTGACAGGCACCTGAAGTACTTTCAAATAAATATAGCTAAAGATACAGAGGTGATCACCTGTGAGCGGCGGACCACAGACTTTCTTCAGATTTTCTATGTGTTTATCTTTTGGCCTTTGTTCATTGCCTTCAGTTAGACCAAGTTACCTTTTTTCTCTTCCCATCTTTATGAGCCTATTAAGCTGCCACTGACATCAGGGAGGTTTCATCAATTTCTCTAAGCAACACTTCTGTCTCTTTCCACCTTGAGTTCCGAGTATTTTACTCACAGAAATTTGCCTACGTTAACCCAAAGAGGGTGGCTTCAGGAATGTTTTGATTCTACACAAAATATCATCGCGATAATTTATGAAATTTATTTTTCTGCCCTTTTCCCTTATCTGTAAGTAGAGGTAGTAATAACCTTCTTGCATGATGTAGTACATAAAATCTAAAAAAAAAAAACCAAAATAATAGTGCTTTTGCAAGATAGGAATGTATTTCTCTTACATTTGAAACTTTGTAGGTGTATTGTCCAGAGCTGAAATGTCTATTCTGCTCCACAAGGTCTTGAAGGACTCAAGTATCCTCTGTTTTCTTGCTGTACCACTCCTGCGTGTTGCCACTGTGCACATAGCCCAGGAGGCCAGCCCCCAGAAAGTGCTGCAGAGCAGTCTGGAAGAAACTGCCGCGAGGTTCAGGTTAGCCCAGTGTACTGGCTTAAACTGCATGCTCATCAGTGACCACTTCCTCCAAAGTCTAATCCTTTGAAAATGCCTTTCTTTCTCAGAAAGACTTTTGAAAGAAAATACAGTCAGTTATATGGATGAAAGAAAAGGCTCATGTTTAGTTAGGTGAGAAATAGAAGAATGACAGAGAGTGGCAGAGTCAAAAACTGATCAGAAAAAAAAATCATATCAGGAAAGAAAATGAGAATAAAATAATTGAGACAAATGGCTTAACATTTCTATATTAGAGTATCCTCCCTCAATTGTAAAAATCGTCTATTTATATGGCGGTAAAGCACCCCACTTCAAAAAAACAAAAAAAGCAGAAGTACCAAAGCATTTTCCTAGTGCCTCAGGGTCCCTCAGTGATGCCTTGGTT